CCAAAACTAAGTGTCTCCTGTCTGTTGAAGCGAACTCGTCGTTGTTGAAAGGTTTCAGCATCGACTGGTTCATACAATGCTGCAGTGTCAGGGTCCAGTGAAGGCCCTGACATTGATGCTTGAGGTGCTGTTGCAATAGCCGGTGGTGATGCAGCATGTGGTGTGGGTGCTGCAGATGGTATGGTTGGCTCTTCGCTGGGTTCGACTACAGTAGGAGCCCGTGAGCGGGACCTAGTGGTGGCTGGTGAACCTGGTACAGTGATCTCGGCTGGGGCCATGGGCAACAACATGTTTGGTTCTGCCATCACTGGTGTTGGTGGTGCTCTGGGAGACGTCGGTGCAAAGCTGGAATGAGCAGGTGAGGTAGGCTCATAGTCATCATCGGGCACGATGATCTGTGGTGGTGCTTCTGCAGTCGGCACGGGTGGCTCCAGGCGAAAGCGATGCCTGGGAGGCTCATCATCATCTTCTTCCAGCAGAGGACCATCAGGGTCAGTGTGTTGTTCATCTTCCTCGACATCATCCAGCTGTTGGCGGTTCACCCGTCTCAAGTCGTAGAATCTAGTGACTCCACGGGATTTCAGCTGTCTCACTTTGTTGAGGGCTGATTGCAGGTCTTCGAGCACGTGCTGAGGTCCGAGGATGTCTGCACGGACATGGTGAGGCGCAGCACGAATCAACTGTGTTTTGTAGGCGAGCCAGTAGGTCTTGACCTTTGGAGCTGCAGTATCAGCTTCAGCATCTTCTTCACGAAGAACCACGTGGGCAGGACCAAGCCATCTGATCTTGTTCAGGGCTCCTTGGCGAGCATCACGCCAAAACCATACTCTTTCTCCCAACTGGAAAACTCGATTCTGGCCCTGGTACTTGCGACTGAGAGCTCGTCGCAGCTTGGAGTCAGCATCAGCAGATGCCAGTGCCATCTTTGCAGCAGTTCGCCGCTCAAGGTTCTCCTCAAATGAGCTGTTGTTGCCAGCAAGTTGAGCTGCATTGAGGTTGGAGTCCATGAGGTGGGACAGCTCAGGTTGGAAGCCAAGAACCCATTGACTGGGCGAGAAGCCAGCAACTGCAGGTGTGGCGTTCTGCTGTGGGATCACATAGCAAAGTGCTTCCTTGATGCCAGCAGCGTCGTTGAGCTTGCGGTCATCCATGTAGACCTCACAGGCACGGCGCAGCACTGCATGACGGCGCTCAACCAACGAAAGGCGCTCATGAGCTTCTCCTGGTGCTACTTGATGGTCAATGCCAAGTGAGCTTGTCCAAGATTCAAACGGTGCACCAAGCCAAGGTCGGCCTTCATCGGAGATCAGCTTCTTGGGAGGGCCAAAATGGCGAACCCACATCTTTTCCAGAGCGGTGATGTAGGACTTGGAGGTCTCCTCATGAAGCAGGTAGGCTGCCATGAACTTGGTGCCAACATCAACTATGCTCAGCACTGCAAACTTGCGGTCTGCTGGCTTGAGGTAGAAAACGTCAGCCTGAATCACTTCGTTGAAGGTCTTGGGCTGTGGCATGGATGATGGAGCAACCTGGTTGGGCTTCTTGTGCTTCAGACATGCCACACACTTGTACTCCTTGGCAGCGGCGATCACAGTGGGATGAGCTCCTCTGGCGGTCAACAGATCAGCCAGAGCATCAGGTGCCGGATGGCCAAGGTTTCGGTGTAGCCGTTGCACCGTTCGAAGAGCATCTTGTCGGTGTTCAGACTTGAGCTTGAGGAGGTGTCCGGTCTCTTTCTTGCCAGTTTCATCGACCACATAGGCGGTGTCCCACAGTTGAGCGGTCTCAGGACGAGCCAAGGCAGCAGCCAGTGTCGCTGCAAAGCCAGGTTGGTAGTCTTCCAAGTAGGTGGTCCGGCGGTCATAGCCAGGAGCAGAACCTTCCAAGGGGCAGTGGTAGTGGTCATGGTCACACTTCAGCTGGAAGGCCTCTAAAACAGCCTGCTTTGTGGTCAACAGGCGAGTGCTCTTTTGGACAGGTCGCCAGATGCCGTCGGTGTCCATGCACATTGCTCCATAGCGGCATTGGTCGAAGTCGGCATAGTAACCAGGAAGATCTCGGAGAGCCATCGTGTTCCAGCTCAAGGCATGTCGGGGCTGCTCCAAGTGGGCATGCCGTGCATTGGTCACCTGTCGTAGGTAGATGCGCTTGGCAAAGCAGAGATGGCGACGATGGTGGTGCTCACGTCGAGCCTTCAAGGCTTCTTGCTGTGCAGGGGTGCGACAAGCCAAGGTTTGCATTCTTGACCACAGGCGGCATTCTGGTGCCACCAGCACTTCATCAGGTTCTTCTTCATCAAGTCGTTGGAGTAGCTGTTGTTGATGGCTGATGAGGTTGAAGTCCCAGCCATTGTCCAAAGAAAATCTTTCCACCTTCATGCCAAGCTCCTCTGCGATGTGGCCAGTGCGAGCTTTGCCACAATAGATTTCCCAGAGAACTCGTCGATGGTCGGGAGGATTGTGAAGCTCCTGAGTGATATAGGCTTCGGTGGAGTTTGAGGTAGTGACCAACTGAGTCTCCATGGTTCGAAGGGCATGTCGATGAAGGCGAGTGGATTGCAATTCGCCACCTGCTAGAGCCACATCTTCAGCCTGAAACACATGTTCGAGCTTGTTAAAGTCCTCGAAGTGGAGATGGCTGCCAGGTGTTTCCTCAGCAATGCGAAGGCTGAATAGGGTTTTCGTGGGATCAGGTACTTCCTCCATGCCAGTGGTGAGGCTCAACAAGTACTCGCCATGGCGGCCCACAAGCACTGAGGTCCAAGGCGATTGCCCAAAGCGAATGCGCTTCTGGCTGAAGTCGATGCCCATGTGCAGAGCCTCAATCACAGGTCGGCCCATCAACATTGGCGTGTTGCCAGGAACCAGGTAGCATTGGATCGTGCCGAACTGGCCATCGATCATCACCGGGAGATCCACTGTCCATGAAGCTCGTGAGGATGCATCGCCACCAAAATGGAACTGGCGGTCACATCGAGCAAAGCGGATGGTGTTGATGGGGTAGTTCATGGAGTGCAAGTGGCTCAAATAGCGGCCGAATGGACCATATCCGCACAGGAAGGCAGATGCACCTGGGTCAAGCATGGTGGCATCCGGTCGGTCGGTGCCCATCTCATCCTGGAACAGGACCAAGGCGGTCTCATTCTGCAAGGCCATACCCTCAGTGGGTGCAGGTCTCTTGTTGGACGATGAGGGTGATTTCGCACCTTGTGGACATTGCGCTGCCCAATGACCTGGTTGGCCACAACGAAGGCATGTAGTTGCCTTTGCACGACCTTTTGGATCAGCCTTTCCACCTGAGGAGGGTGGATAGCGCACCACATTCTTTCCTTTTCCTTTGCTTTTGCTCTTGCCCTTTCCTTTGTTCTTGCCGGCGCCCTTCGAAGGTGAAGAGGATCCAGAGGCGGGCGAAGCGTTCTGGCCATCAGTGAGGGCGACGATCGGCAGGTAGCCACGAGCCAACTTGAGCTGCTGGAATCTTTGCCGGGCATCCAAGTAGGTGGCATAGGCGTGGTCATACTCTTCGGCCAACTCTTGAGGATCTTCGGACAGGTCATGGTGTTCTCCAGGTTCATCCTCTTCGCCGTAGTAGATGGCGTCATAGTCAAAGTCAGCCTCATCGTCAGGGGCAGTGTCATCATACCAGTCGTCAGCCTCATAGTAGGCGTCTTCTGTCCAGGGTTGCTCGGACCAGTAGGCATCTTCTTCATCGAATGCGGCGTAGCCGCGGCCCTTCCAGCGGTTGAACTTTCGCTCACGTTCAGCATTCCAGCCGCCTGCCTTGTAGTCCTGACCGAACAGCAGGTACAGGGCTTCGATGACAGAATTCTTTTCCAACGTAGGAGCCTTCAGCGTCACCATTTGGCGTTGCTCCTTTGACAAAGCAGCACGTCGGAGTAGATGCCATCCTTGAACCTGGACTGGAAGAGTCACATTGTGGGCAGTCAAACGACGATAGGCGGTGTCATGGTCGGTGACGAAGGACAGGAGGCTTTGCTGTGGCTTCCTTTGCAACAAGTTGAAGTACTCCTCAAAGTCATTCGGAAGGAGCACACGATCGTCATACTCGAAGTTCTTGTCGAGCTTGGTGATGATCTTGCTGAAGCCATCCTCTTTCTCAGCCTCTTCAACTGAGAAGTCCTCGAACAACCGCCACGTCACACCCTGAAAACTTCCCAGGATGTTCAGGACGGACTCGGCTGAGCGCTTGCTGATCTTCATCTTGTGGTGGTAGAGCATCAGCCTCTTTCTGTACTCTTTGTAGTCCTGGGGTTGTCCACTGAACAGTGGAACGAAGGAGTCGCGCAGGTTGAGGTAGTCCCCATCCTTGGAACCTTCTGCAGCCGATGTCGTTGGTGGCATTCTCAAACAAGTAGCCAAGACCGAAAGGGCTCTTCAACGAGGAAACAAAAGAGCTCGGCCAAGGGTTCGTGACAAAGGACTTATGCAGAACCTCGTTCTTCTTCGCGCAAAGGACTCGGAGCCCCCCGGAGGAGGCTCCGCTACCAATGCGAAAAAGGTAGAGCAGCGGCACCCGAAGTCCGCAAACACGAAAACAAGAGGGCGCACTGAAGCGCCGCGGCCGCGCCTTTTGCAAGGCAACTGCCCTCCCAGTCTTGAGAGGGAACGACGGTAAGTGAAGGTCGAAAACAGTTCGAACTGCCGAAACACAAGTGCACAGCGTGAACTTTACACATGTCGTGATGGTCTGCTGCCCAAGGATCAGTAGCAATATAAGATGGCTCAGCAAATGCATCCCGCATTCGAGACTTCATGTCAAGAGCCCGAAGTTTGCTGTTCAAAGCCTTCCTCTTTCTTTGCTTTTGAGTTTGTTTCAGGTACCTCTCCAAAAGAATCCCGTCAGCCCGGCGAGCTTGCGTATCACATACACTGCATACACGTTTTGACACTGGCCGCTCACAACCGACGATATTCCTTCTCTTCTTCCTGACCTGTCTCGAAATGCCAAAACAGGCCCCGCTCACTCGGTTTCAATTCAGGTCACTCGGCTTTGGGGTCCACCGGTTCATCCTCTTCCACCTCCTCTCTATCATCTACTGGAGCCTTGCTCTCACCTGTCAGAAGGAACTGCAACTGAAGAAACGACGCGCACACCTGCTTCAAATGGCCTCTGCGATGTGGCACAGTGCCCGGAAGATCAAGATCTTCATCATCTGAATCCACATACTCCGGGGCCTTGATCCTCCTAGGTGAGATGGGCCGTATTCAAGGGATTCGGCTTCAACCGACTATGGAGACTCAGGCCACTGCGGGTGGTGATGATTGGCCCAAGTTTCTAAGATGGTTTGCGCCCTCTCGACTCGATTCAGGACCTCAATTCTTGGAAAATGTCTCATTTCTGGTGCGCGTCAATTATCATTATATATGTCCTTATATATCTGCTTTGCAACTTCACAATCCATGCCCATCTTTGGGGCTCCCCGCAGCATCTGCAATGGCAGGTGGTGATGGAGACACTGGATCAGGGGCCTTCACTATACCACCTGGAGGTCCACATGCAGGACAAGAAAACAACCGCATCTTGGAGAGGCTTTGAGAGCAGTACCACTTCCTGTGCTCTTCAAAATGATAGAGCTTTGGTTGCCAGCCGCCTGCAAATGCACACACGGAGCATCACAGGGCACATGCGCTCTCTTTCATATTTGCACACTTTCAATCTCTTTCACGGTTCTGCGGTTTCACCCAGCACGGGGAAGGAAAGCTAGCACCTGCATTGCAGCTAGCTGCTCTCTGAGCTGAAAGTTTTCCTGCTCGGCCAGTCGACAAGCCTTGGTTGGTCACCACTCTCAATCAAACATTCAGCGCGGGTCTTGAAATCCATGAACAATCATGCGGAAAAGGCTTGGCTTCACCATTGGACGTCTCGATTTCTCTGTCCAGCCACCGCATCACGCTGGACGAGCAGCTTCTTCGCCTTTTGCAGTGCAAGCTGTTTGCCATGGCATTTTGCACCGTAATGATATCACTACAGAAAGTTTGCTCAATCTATGTGTTCAAGCAATTTCAAGCACCTGCACCAGTACAATCCTGCGTGTATGACCCTGGGTGTACCAGTGCCTGTTTTGGGCACCTATACCCCTCTACATACACCCGAAAAAGCCCATCAAGGCGAAGTCTCACGGCTTTTGCCTAGCCTATGGCGGAAACCCCTGACGTATGGCGGAGGACATAGAGCTTGACAGAATCAATGAAAAATTGGAGAATTTCTGTGGTTGCCGATAACCATTCCACAAATCCGGAGGGAAATTGTTCCAGAAAATGCCAGCTGTTGGAAAGCCGAAACCTTCTGCAATTCTTCATGGCTCTAGTCCGGATATTGAATCGTAATATTTACGTAGCAGCATTGCTCTCCGGCTGTCGTCTTGGCGGCAGTCTGTGTCAGTCTTCCTGTGTCCAGAGCCCTACAAGCACTCAAAGAATACCACATGGCAACAAATGAGCGGTGTTCAAAATTGTGTTTTCTTTCCGGGAAATCCAATGTTGCGCTAGACCGTTTTTCTATTTTTTCCTTACAGGAACACATGTACGCAAGATTATTCTTACGTTGCGTTTACAGCCGAAGTATGGAAGTTCACTGTGGTCACATGTGGTACGTTGTTCAACATCTTTGGGCCCAGCCGTCGTGAAAGTAAACAAGTTCCACTTTCGGTAACCTTACTTCGCCATCTGCACGTCCTTACGGCAAACCTTACGGAAACCCTGCAAACATCAGCCAAAATCATTGTTTTCACTGATTTTTCGCTGGTTCCTAATGGAAATTTATAATCCTGCATCAATGGTTGAGGTAGTTGCCAAAAACCCTCGCAAGAGCAGGGGCTAACAATGCAACTGCTAATGCAAGAAAAGAACTAGGGATGGGGCCGTCTCCAGCTGAGCCACATTCAACCCATTTATCTTGCTCGCCTTGACAAAGCGACGTCAAATTGTTGGGGCCAACGAGTCCAACGAGGATTGTCACAAGTTCTTGCGTCTCAAAACAACAATTCGAAGCTACCGGCCCGACACCCACAACAAGCAAGGAGAGCCTGCCCACGAGTTGGGCTCTGCGCAAGAAGCCTCAAAAAGCAAGGGCAACCCGACAGCAAACATAATCTCTGCTTCAAAGTTGGTTGTTCATTGGTTCAATAAACGCCATTTGCATATATAATCATATATATATCATATTATATCATCCGGTTCCCTGTAAGAGTGGATGATGACGGTAAGTAAGGCTTTCCTCTAAAGTAGTGATAATTGTTTACCGAGAGGAATTCGATCATAAAATCAAAGCCTTCTTGCAGTCTTGACGTCAGAAAACATGCTACGCCAAGGTGGTCCATTATACATCCACGCACACCAAAAGGGTGAGAAACTTGAGAACACACATCAAGCCCCTCGATTCTATAATGGACTCCAAGGGTCTGAAATGCCAGTCACTATCATAGGTTGCTTTGGAACTGGCTTCACAACGTCGAATGTTTGTGATCTGGGGCCCTCTAGGTCTCAAGATGTCTCAAGGTCGAAGAGATGAGGCGTGGGATTGGCGTGCATAGGATTGGTTGCACTGTGAAACTCAATGCACGTGCGTCTTAGCACTAGGAAACTGTCGGTCAAAACGAACCCCAATGCTCACTGGGCGTTCTGTAGTGAATCTGCATAGAGCAGGACCAAGATCCATACACAGATTGCGTTCTGATCAGATTCTGCTTAGTTGGTAGAAACTATGCCTAGAGTACCCTGCCTGGATCTGACTACGCAGATGCAATCTCATGAGCCGGCCGGAGCTCAAGGATGGAATCTACAAACTTGCACCACCAAGACTGAACGAGGAAGATGCTGCTTCGCTGCTTCAAGGTTGGTGCTGCTGCCCAACAAGTATGGAAGGTTCTGGCTTGCACTGCGTGCCAACTGGGAATGGCCTTCATGCTTAGCATTTGAATGAGCTCCCAACCGCGATTCCCGTCACCAGTCTCTCTGCGCCTGGGACAACCAGGTCCCTACCTATGAAGGGATATGCAATTGGCTTCGCCCTCACCACGGTCCCGCGCCTCTCCGGTGCTCCAAGACCATTTCTGGTCACAGTCCGGTTGGATTGTTTTCACGGGTCCCAGTGGCTATGTACGTCTGGCTTTAGGAGGTTCGTGAAGCCTTTGTGGCCACCAGGGTCCGCCGGGTGTCGCTGCCAGAGCAACATCTTGAAGTTGCAAAGCCACGTGGCTGTGTGGCTTCTTTGGTGGACTAGGGTCGACCTTGAAGCAGGTCGTCCAGCACGCGTGAGGGTCATCACACTGAACTAGGACCCTGCTCAAGGAACTGTCTCCAGAGCTGAGCACAAGATCAGTGCCGTTGCCTTATCCCAATCAACCATCTTCAGGAGTCTGCGCTGCCGTTGCCAAACTGTCCGTCCCAAGTCTGGTCCGCAACCATCCATCGACACCCCTCCGGAGCCCCCCCTCTCCGGCCTTGCCTGCGCTCAAAGAACTGGGCACTGCAGCTCAACATGTCCAAATGGCATTTGTCCCTCTTCGTCTTGCTGCAGCTGGCCAAGGCGAAGTCCAAGCCCCCATCAAAGTCCCAATCGGCTGCATCCATATCAACCACGAGGGTGAAGGGACTTCAGTCGGGTGGATGACAGTCGGCGCAAACACTATGTGCTTCACAAACTTCCTGAGGTTGCGCCACTCGACCGATGGAAAAGCAATGCTCATGGTGGCATGTCGCCAACGCATTGCAGCAGAACCCATACTCAGCACCATGACAACACCAAGCCCCTGAGGCGTCGCCCAGGAATTTGGCCTCCACGTCTTGTTGCTATGGATGCTTTGGCATCTGCGCTTCCACCACAGAAAAAGACATGAAGTGTGCTGAAGCTATATCTAGAAGAACTCACCAAGAGACCTCAAGAGGTACCTTTCAAGCGAGTCATGGCACGGTCGGGCCCCGCCAGCTGCATCTCAGCACCGGGCTGGTTCCGGAGCTCCCCCAACTCGAGGTCCCTCATCTTCTGAGCTTCTTCCAACTTGTCGAGCCTCCAAACACCCGAAAATCAACAGGCTCATGGCTCCTAAAAGAAGAACAACACCCGACCAAGGACATGGCTCCGAAAATAAACACCACTTCTGGGGGGCAAGTTTTCTGAGCTGAACTCCACGAGGTCCACGTGCCCCAAGATGCCGACATTCGCTTGTTCTTCTGGAAATGCTGCACGAAGAGGCCGTGCATTTCTTCCATCTGGTCGTCAAAGACATTCCGGATTGTATCTACCTGATGTGATGAAGTTTGGTATCGAACTATATAAGTCGAACTTTTTTCTCATGTCTGTCTTTGCAGTGTATCTTCCCCAAACCGTTTGATGAGAAGCCAGAAAAAAAAAACTGAGAATGGTGTTGAGCAAACTAAGGAAAACGAAGACAGTTTCTCACGCATGCACCACAGAAAGGATGCAAACAAATGAAGTGTCAAAGACTCAGAAAATGCGCAACTGCGTGTTAGCCTGCACGTCCTGATAACCATTGTTAAAACCTGCACAACCTCCTTCCAGCAGCCTGTCCCAAATCACACGACTGAAAATGCAAGTGAGGCACTGAGATGGTAGGCTTTTCTCTGGTATCTTGACACAGTTCCTACAACGTCCCAGGCTCATCGAGAAACCAGCTCATCTGACTGGTTGGAAGTTTGAATACAGTCTCCGTGTGGCTGATCGGGATATATACATGTGTCTCCTGCAAAATCTGCACCTTCTTGCCTTTTGAGAGCTTTGATGGCGATGGGCCACCAGCAAGGCTCCTGAGAGCACGATCGGCACATCTGAATGATGTTGATCCTAGTTGCCACATTTCACCTCTCACACCCACTGAATCGCTTCTCCTGCTTTCCACATCCCCTGCATTCATGCGTGCCTTGCAACAAGTTATGAGCGTGGAGGCTCGATCTCGCTCGATGGCAATGGCTTATGCAGGCCAAATAAAATGGAACAGCATCAATCAATCTAAGGCGGTGGCGCTATATAGTTACTCGGATGCCCACCGGTGGATACGAAGGATGCAAAGGTTTGAGCTATAATCAGACGTGCAAACGAATGCACTGGCCTGCACTCTTGCCTTTGCGTCGGCACAATGGAGGGAAGGGAAGTGAATACTGAATATACACTGGCTATGTCAGCACGTTTTGTTCTCAAGGGCTTCCAGTCTCTGCGCATGAATTGCTCACGGCAAAGTTGCAAGAGCTTGATCCTTGCTCTGGAGCTGAGTCAAGTCACATGCGGGTGAAACTTTGAGGGCATGATGATCCGCCCCGATGATCTCATGATTGCTCTGCCTTGAATTTGGCACGAGTGTTATTTTCATCCCCTCGAGTTCAACATGTTTCAACCCGTGTTTCGTAATGTCCAATGTAATTTAGCTCTACTATATAGTATGTTTAAGGATTCCTATTGGGTCATCCTTAGGTCATCACCTTGTCTTCCTCTAGGCTCTATATTCGGCCCGATCTCGACCGGTCGACCTAAGCCGCATCTTCAGCTGGTGCTTCCGCTGGGGGGGCTTCTGCATCAGCCGCTTCGGCCGCTTCCGCCGGGGCCTCCTCACCCTCCACCACCTCCGCTGCAGCTGCCTCAACACCTTCCTTTGGCTCTGCACCCTCAACTGCTTCGGCCTCAGCCTCTTGGGTTGCCTGTTGCTTGTCCCAGTACTCCTGAGGCATGGCAGCGAAACCCAGGCAAAATGGTGACTCGGTCCAAAAGCAAGCCTCTGCACCCTTCACGTCGGCACTGGGTATGCCAGGTAGTTCGTGTATACTATATACAAAGCCCATTGTTCACCCCCAGAAGTGAGAACATGAAGAAACACAGTGAAACCAAACGCTACCATGCTGAATTGCTCAAATCAGGTATGTGGGGCCTGGTTCTCAAAGCCTGGTATGGGGGTCCCACCTGCAAGGGCAGTGTTTAGTAAGCCCTACACTGACCCGCAAGCTCAAAGGCTCGAATGGCAGGTCTGTAAAGATCGATGGGCTTGCTCAAACAGAGAGTTCACCCCCAAACGAACTGCCGTTAACGTGCACTATTTGCTGAGCCATGAACATGTGACTATGACTTTGACTACCAATTAAATGTACGGTTGCTTCGTACTTGCTACTTTAAACCTGTTGAACTTGTGAAAAGTCGATCCAAATAAAGGAGGACTTACATTTGTGTAAGTGGGCATGCACGGTGTGTATATATATTTTTTGTTTATCTATTTATTTTGTTTTGTGTGTGTGTGCGGGTATGTGCTTCACTTGACTTCAAGAGCTGGGACTCAGCTCCCCATCCTGCTTCTTGGATGCAATCTCGTCGGCGCGCTTCTTCTCAGCTTCCTCACGGATCTTCCGCTCAATCTCCTCCCGTTTCTTTCTCTCCTCTTCCTGCAACAGGCGATGCGTGTAGTGTCACACCACGATGCGACGATGCGTGTAGTGTTTTGTCGCAGAACAAGGGAAGTATAGGAAAATATCAACACAGAAACCACATCACGTTTTGTGAGCATGTTCTGAATGGATATGAACCGAATGAATCAGTCCTGTTTTGCTTTCCTGGCTCTCTCTGCTTCGGCTTTTGCTTGATCGTCACGAATTGAGGCCTCATCCTTCGTGAAGTAGACCTAAAATCAAAAAGCAAAGGGTTGAGTCAACTGTCGAGGTCCTCCTGCGGATTCGTGCAGTACGGTTCTAAAGATATACTGCGTAAATGATTATACAATATTATACATACTATATAATTATACAATGCTTGATGCTCCACAGGTATCAGTGTGAGATGACAGGCATACAATTACAAACTTGGTCACAAATTGATAGGAATAGAATGACTGACCACTTCTCCATCACATCCCCGCCAACCTGGTACTTCTTGCCGGACTTCTTGCATCTCATCAGCTCATTCCACGCTTGATAACTAGTCTCGATCGGGATGCCATCAATCATACCTAAGATGTTTTTCGACACACTTCTCTGGCAATGGTAAGGGCTGGGGACAGTTTGAGCCATGGAGCCTATCCTTCCCCAGGACCTGTTGTCAGCCCTTTGAAGCTATGTGTCTTCCAAGGAACTGATGGACCAGCCAGGCTTCACCCCGAGCAAACGTGCCTGACATGAAACCCTCTCCACCTCAGTTGAGCCTGCCCGCCATGAAAGCCCGTGCGAGCCCATTGCGAACCTGGAAGCATGACAAAATCATCGTTTTTTAAGGGGGGCATCGTGTTGCATCGTTTTGCACCACTGTTCTTCAGCTAGGACACCGAGACTTGAAGTTTTTCCTCTTATATACTTAGTCTTCTTGCAGACAGGCCAGCTGACAAGTCAAGCTCTGCCGTCAAGACACTCCAGCTTGCAAATGCCTGGCTGCATCTCCACCATGGTGGTGCACAAATGAAATGGTCACGAAGCAGCCAAAACAAACTTGATGTCTACTGCCCGGCCAGGCTTGAGCAAAGCGCCTACGTGGAAGAAAGCTGTAGGCAAATGAGGCATGACTCATCGACATTTCAGCCACACACCAAGTTGCGAGATTGTTCACTGAACTGTGGACACAAAATGTGGATGCTCCATGGTTCTCCTGTTGAGCTGGCATTCTCAGGGCCCGTACCAAAATACAAGCTCGCTAACTCAGATTCGGTTGGTTCCCTGACCCCATACAGACGCCCTCTCAGTTTCAAAGGAATCTTAAGCTCCAACCATCCATGAACCAAGCACCCTGTGCAAGCTCCAAACCTCTTTTCTCACACTTGAAGCTGAAGGCTTTCCATGTCCAATTCTGGATCCACGTCAGCCACCACTTGCCACTGCCGAGTCTTTGCAGCCCTCATGATTGCCAACATGAGCCCTTGGATCCAGGTGTCGTCACTAGCAGTCGAACACAGACCCAAGCACGGACGGATGCTCAGGCTCAAACTCGGAAAAGGATGAAAAGGAGGATGCGAAAACTTTGCGATTAAAAAACGAACACAGCATGGCATTCACCGTGGTGCGCTAAAACAAGAGACACATCCTTGATCCAAGTCGCTCAGATCTTCCAGAGCTTCATGTGGTGCTGCTGCCAAGGCTGTCTTCTGTCGAATGGCCAGGGCAAAGTCACGCATCTCTCCCGCATATCCGGTGTCCCATCCAACGGGTCCAGAATAGTCCCGGTTGATGTCCTCACTTCGACCCGCGACCCGCAGGGGCCCAAACTGGGTCTGTGGCGTTTCATCTTCCGGGAACCACCAAAATCACCACAGCCTGCTCCATCATCTTTCCATCTTGGATGCAGTAAATGCGGCCACCCCCAGCAAACCCATCAAGCCTCGTCGTGACTGGCTTTCGAGATCAACTGCAAGAACGCACTTCTCTACTGAAGCCCGCCTAATTGCACCAAGCGGACACAATGCACTGCATAGTATGCTTGAAGTCTTCTTTTGGGTGGTGAGCCAGGCAATCAATTGACATGTTGGCTCATTTTTGAGGGTTGCAAAAAATGCAAATCCAAATTCTACATTTACAGCAAGGCACACCACTTCACCCTTCGTACCCTGTATCACGAAGAAGGGTTGCTCTGAAATTGCACCTAAAGGTCCAGCAAACACGTGTTCCGTTTTTTCAAGGCTTCATTGGAAACAAAATAGTGGCTCACGTGCCCTTAAACGAACACAGTGCCAAGTTACCAGGCGCTAAGATTGCTTCGAAGACCGCAGTAACACCGCACTCGAAGCAAATCAAGGCTTGAGTCATCCCAGGACCACGCATGTGTGGCAACGCCCGCCCAGCTACGGCTGAAACGGATTGGGCCTGGGCGAAAAGGCGGACCAGAAACGCTCGCACTTTAAATCAAAAGACATGATCAGCTAGCTAGTTCCAAAGATTTTGGCAAGGGAACGCCGAGACATGAGGGACGGGACTTTCCCAACATGGCCTTCCCCAGGAACATTCGCAGGGGCCGCAGCCAATGCAGGCCCCCATCAAAGACGAAGCCTTCCGCTGCGTCAGCGATGAAGCTGCCTGCCTCGTAGGACCCATCAGCCGCCCATTCGTTCAATGCTGGATGGGCGCTTTCCCAGAACTTGGCCTCCAGCCAGGTCCCATCAAAAGATACGAATCTCAAAGATGTGGCGCTTTGCACCACCAGTGAACCGAATGGTGGTGTCCTTGAAGGGCCTGACCACCTGGAGTTTCCGATGATCTAATCCAAGCAGCTCTCACTGTCAGCACGTCACCAATTGCGCCACTTTGGATGAGTCGCTGGGCTTCCACCACTTCGCGCCAGTATTGGGCATTCTCTGCCACCGCCAAGACCTTCTCAGGGCCTTGTGACTGCAAAATACGTTGCCCAGATGCAATGCAAACCTCAAGGCTGGAGTTGAGTGTCAATAAACTGATCAACCCTGATATTGTTAGTGGGGCATGTGCGGAAGCGCTTCTTTGAGCTTGTGCTTACATCTTAAGGTACGGGCCGGGTAGCAGAGATTGGCTTCTCCAAGAGGATGTGTCGGTTTGCCTTCTGGGCAATCAATGCCACCTCCTCATGTAGCGTGCCAACATTGGGAACCATGATGTCCTGGGTGCGGCGTAGGAACTCTTGGATTAGCAAATGACCTGAAAACGAAGCGAACTCTGGTTGACAGGACGGGGACAACTTGGTACGAAAGACAGCCCAATTCCAGGCAGCAATTTCAGGTGCAATTTGCATTGCCAAGTGTGAAACATTCATGTAAGTGTTGATATACTGCATAAATATATATATATATATTGAAAACTAACAATAACTATGTCACTATGTCTATTTATAGCGGCATGGGCACCAATGTTCACTTTCCAAACATCTTGTGTCCCGGCAGACTTGGGGAACCCCTCTGGAGGCCGTTGGAAGCGAGGAGCGACCGCTTCAAAGAGCTCCTGGTCAGGATCGGCCTCCCAGGCGAGGCGGATTGGCAGGGACGAGGTGGTGAGGCCCTCAACCTGAGGTCACGAAGACTGCTGCTTGTAGCAATGCCCTTGTTCCTAGTAGTTCTTCTTGTTCCTAGTAGTCACGCCGGGAGCTACTAGCAGTTTCTTGCTCCTAATGGCGACGCCCTTTGCTGATTCATCACGCCGCTCCAATGGCACTCCAAAGTCCCAAAAGTCTGAATTATACGGTGTATGTAAAAAAAAAATATATATATATATAACTATAACCAGCAGCTTTACGGCGTAAGGACCCACCATGGTACATAGAGGCGCGTTTGTCATTCACCCTGTTCATCTCGCTAATCTTCTAGCTTTCGCGCGTGGCTCGTCCGAGCCGCAGGCGGCTGAATCATGGAGGCGCCACCGCAAAGGTTGATGGGGCACTGTTGAGAGGGAGAACCTCAATCCATCTCAGCCACCTTCGTCAAGATTCACGTCGACTGTTGATCAATAAAGCCCGAATATGTAGAACCATCGTACCATGCTGGAGACGGGGACAATCCGGAGTCGAAACCTGTCCAAGTCCTATCCATCTATCCACCTATCTACAGTATCTATCAACCTTTCATCGATACAGCCTGAGAAGGGAGGGGACGAAAGCCAGCCCCCCCCAGTGTACACTCACTCACTCACTCATCTTCGTGTGCCCACCTTCTCCTTCTACTTCCTGCTTTCTCCCTGTAGCTTCGGACAATGCGCGGCAGTATCGCAGCGGCTCGCGCAACACGGTGGGTGCGTTGTGGAAAGGGCCGTCAGCCCACGAATGCCTGTTGGCTTGGGACGTAATGTTTAGTTTGTGGACCTTCAAAAATGCTTGTGTGTACCTTTTTTTCGAGCGATGGGGCGGTTGGACTGAAGGGCAATAATGGGCAAGACATCTTTAAATTGCACAAATGGACCAGTAAATGGGCCCTTTAATGATCTACATGGCCAGTACAAACGTTCTTATGCTCCATGATGAACGAAAATCTTGGTTGAGGCATGGCATTATCATTCTGTCCCAGTGTCCTTGACTTCGCTCAGCAGCGACCGGCTTGCACTATGGATGCATGAGTTTGACAAGGCTGCACCCCTGATGAACTCGCTGGCCAAACGGCCAGTTCAAGGTTACGTGTCCGCCCAAAACAATCACGACGTGTCCACTCCAGTACCCGACTTTCCTGCATCCTGCAGGACCCTTCTTCCTGCTTCTGTCCTTCCTTTTCGTTCTTTTCCCCTTCTTCCTGTCTCTTCCTTCTTCTTGCCTATTCCTTCTTCCTCCTCTAAAGCTAAAATGTAACAAAAAGATACGGATAAGCAGCACACACTCACAACGTGTCAATTCCAGTACCGAACTTTCCTGCATCTTGCATGACCCTTCTTCTGTCTTCTTTCCTTCTTCCTCGTTCTTTTACTTTTCCAAAACTTACAATGTTGCTCAACGCACGTCCACCCACTTTTGGCCGGTTTTCCCCAATAAATTCTGATTTTTGACCAAAACTACTCATTGTGCAATGCCCCTCCCTCACTTCGTTCGCTATTCAGACCTTCAGCCTAGCCTACGGCTGGCTTTCGCAATTACAGATATATACAGTACATACATGAAACTAGATGAGTCATGGTTTCTTCCAGCCTCAGATCATACCTTTTGGAAAACAACCGATTCGTACCACTACGTCTGCCCAGCTCACCTGCAGTGCTTCCTCCAGCGTGGCAAAGGCCTTCTTGGCACCACTGTCCTTCAGCGCGCTGAGGCGCCTTGATAGGTCCGGCTCCACCACACTGGTGTAAACGAGGAGCCCTCAACGGCGCTGAGAGCAGATGTGGTTTTACCAAAAGAAAGAAGTGTGACTGATCTTTGGAGAGCTGACACGAACCCTCCTTCTCAGAGATCTGACATGACACTTTTCGGTCCGTTCTTCTAAAGATCCGCTGATTTTTTTGCCCGCTCCCTTCACTGAAAAGATATTTTTCTGCTCAGCTTCTGGGCTCCATGGCCAAGACCTCAGCGTGACTTGATACAACAAGAAACAAACGTGAATCTGTGGGCTAAAAGGCGTTGAATAGTGTGCGTATTATGTGTGCTTCATAAGGCTAAGCATTTATCATGTTTTATCTGGTTTTGTTTGCTGAGCCATTGGCCGCTTGGAGATGATGGCGCCAAACGACTCCACAACCAACAGCGGCAACCCGGACAGGCTCCATGCGTGGACGTTTGGACATGAGTTATGTGAGGATGTGAAGCGGACATCACTCCATAATGTGTGGAAAGCTGGCTTTGGGGCTGCAGTCCTTCTGCATGGGGCAGTTGTTCAAAAGCGGTAGTTGCAGGCAAGCTTCGTAGCACTGCCTTTCAGAAACAAAGGCAAATGCAAACGAAGATCAACTTGAAAGGGAGAAGACACAAACAGGCAAAAAGCTGTTTTCGCATGTTTAGTTTGCCCAAAGCTTGAACTCACGCGAGCCATCTTAGTCTCTCCAGTCTTCGTCAATTTCTCTGACGAACTCCCCGTTCGGTCTCATTCCGTTTGGAGACAAGAAGCCAGCACAATTGGTCGGTGCCTTTTGCAGCTTTGAACCAATCACAGTGTCGGCACACATCCAGCGTGTCTAGCTGAAGACTGCTGCCCCGAGCTCCTAGGGATTCTAGGGCTGGCAGGACTGCTTCTACCATGCGCTTGGAGGCCTGGCTCAAGGGAAAAGTTTAACAGGTATCCAGAACAACGGGTCAGTTTTTGAGCCCGTGGTTACTGTTGGCCACTTGATCCGATGCGTGCAACAAAGCATCTTCGGCCTTCGGGTCATGTTCAGTTGGACAGGTTCAGATCTTCAGTGGGCCAACATGGAATGCAGCTTCACTCACAGCGGGTGAAGCAACTGAGGCAAACTACTGTAAAGAGAATGATTTGCCTCGTCATTTTCATGGGCAACCGGTGCCTGTGAACCGGAAACTGCATCAATCACATGGGCTGGGCGAATTCGGCACCGGATTGCGACTGGGCACCGGATATCTACTGTATCTAGCTAGGTCACTCACTAAGGTTCGGCCGCTCTCTTTGTTGGCCCATGAGTGTATGCACTACCCTGAAACGGTCAGGGGGACGACGCTGAATGGGCGTTGCCGCGTCTTCGCCTTCAAAGTCGTCTAGGATTCAGCTTGTGGCCAGTCCCGAGGTCGGCACGAATGGCAAAAGTTGCACTCCTTGCCCTTGGCACAGCCCTGGGAATGGAAAAATGTGCAAGGCGTGCATTGTGTGCCCCAAGAGCATGACGGTTCGAGGCAAGAGAGGTTTGGTGGGTGCTCCGGGGCTGGGTAAGGAGGCCATGGCCGTCTCATGTACTGAATAGGCTGAATCGGAACGGCATACCAAGCAGTGCCTTGGTTGACTGAGGCTGGGTTGAACGGCGCTGCATTGCTGGACAACTTGGTCCTGCCATGTTCCCAACTGCTGAGCATGGACTTCTGCGAGTCAAGCAGTCTTGGTGAATTGTCTGGAGTAGGAAACCTCGCAGGCAATTTCCACCCACTCACTAAGTCAATAAGGTTCCAGGCATCATGTGAGAATCATGTGGCTTGTCTCAAATTATGATGCCAAGTTGCCCGGAGTAGGGCTCGGCTGTTGTGTCCACACTGTTGTCAACATCAGAGAGGTCTGGAGACTGGCCACACTCACTGGCTGGGCAAGACTTCACGCTGCGGGTCATTTGAAACCATTCCCGTAAGGTTGGGGAGAAGGTCTCCTCGGTCCGACGAGCGGTGTCACGAGTGGCCGCGTGTCGCCGGTGACGGCCACGTGATTTGGCACCGTTGGCGGCGCAGAACAAGTGCTGTCAAGCGGCTGCGCAGGCATCCTTCACCTTCGTTTGGACAATCCAAGAACATCAGCATGACAAGGTAGTTGCTATTAGGTTGGAGGCCATCGCTCTCAGGTTGGAGAAGTTCAAGACCCATCCGTTTGCGACTCAGTATGACAAGGTAGTTGCACCGATTATGACACGACGACTCTGTCGGGCCTGTGCCACCATATCCATTTGCAAATCAGGCATTGTCTTCCGGAGCTGACCCCTGACTGCAGCGCTGCAGCGGCTAGGGTCAGAAATAACGGCTGATCTGCTTACATGCAGCTAACTAACCCAAGGATGAAAATACGGGGGTGAACAAACACAGCTAAGCTGCTAAGCATGTTCTGACTTGCAACCCAAATGCACATGCATGTACCCGCACTGCCTCTACCATCATGCACTTTGCCCCCTTCCCACCCAGCGGCCTTTTGTTCTAGGCAGTTGGGAATTGTTTGAGCCGATAATCGGTCTGCCACGCGCCAATCACTGAATCACTTGGTGCTGTCACAAGACTTGGATCGCCCACTTGGATCAGAACGACAGACGATGGCCCGGCCAGTCCGGGAACATCCTGCAAATCTTGCGTCTTACCTTCTTGACACCACTCTCACCGAGTCTTGCCCTGTACCGCCTTGCCTTGAGCAAGGATAAAGAAACTGGACATTCTGTACAGGAGCCGCTGCCCCCTTTCCAAGCTGGAACTCTGATCAAAACATAATCATGCGTTGTGGGAACATGTTGTCACTCGAACACCGTTGCTTGGCACAGCGGCTAGCATGAAAAACCGGCAACAAAACCTGGTTTGCGGGAAGCTCCTAAGCTCCTGCCTCCTTGCTGTGCCTCTGCTCAGGGAGACGGCATTTCAGCGTAGACCGCCGAAGGGAAAGACCTCAGCCCACTCTCCCGTTCTCGTTGGGCGGGCCCTTCTTTCACACACCATGTGGAACTCACGCTTTCGCCTTAGACCATTGGACACCGCGGACACCGCGCGTCGACGCCAAGCGCTCCCACTCCGTCTCCGTATGGAACTCACGCAAGTCCTGAAGGGGCGCCGTCGGAGACTGAAGGTGCTCCGTCCGAGAGTGACGGGATCCGCCTCCACAGAGGTCAGCAACGCATCGGGCCTGAGTCAAAGGGTGTGCACTGACTAATACGAGTACTAACACAAGTCGTCGGACTTGTGAGGAGTGGGGCAGTTTTTTTTGAAGCGGAGTCCTCTAAGGTCTCGGGCAGTCTTAGACTTTGGGTACATAGCTGACAAAGCTGCATTCTATTGGCACAACGGCCAAGCAATTACCATGAGGTAAGCCCGTAATCTTCGTGCGCCGAGGGTCTTTTCGACTTGGCTCTTCACATCACCTGCAGAAGTACCAAGGACTCGAATGCTCAGTTTCCTGCACCACGTCGACGAAGAGTCACGTTACAAAGTCAATTGCTTCGTACAAAAGATCCATCTAACTACATGATAGTTTGCATGCGCCACTTTGATGTCTTTATACACCTTGACCAAAGCTGCGGTTCAGAGGTCCTTCGGTCTGGAGCTCCTTTGGCCAAATACTTTTTGAAGAAAGCTACCACCTGAACACGCAAATTGACCCAATTGCTCGCTTCTTAAGGCTCAAGCATGTGGTGCATGTGCCATGGGTCCCATGGGCCAACTGAGATGCACACATCTTCTTTCGCCACAGTCTCTAGCGCACGGGTGGATTCAACGATTCGGGAGAACTTGTACCTGCACAAATCGGTGCAGGCTCCTAAACATGAAAAGGCTGGTGCAGATGCAATACCCGATCAAAACCACAGATCACTCAGAGAGAGAGAGAGAGAGAAAGAATTGGGAGCTTTAGCCAATAGTTGATTCGGCAATCAGCGATGTTCAGAAAGAAAGACTGCCTGCGTGGTAGAATCTCGGACCAGTGTCGTGTGGTCTCCTGAATAAGACCTTGGCGAAGCCAGTCACAAGGTAGCGCCATCCAAGGAGTCGGCAATAAGTGTTCATGTCCAAAAACGTGTGTGTGCTTCTGCTCAGTGTCCTTCTTGCTAGGTACTAATGTAAATGTGCTCCGTCTCTGAGCCCAACCGGAATATCGTTGAGTCCTTTCGTTCACGAGGGCCTGCACATTCTTTTGGAAAGTCTCCTCGCTCATGTCTTCCAACTCCTCAAACAGGGGCCGACCAGGCTGGCCCACCCCACTGACTGACTGTTAAACGTGCTCCTGTTCAAAAGCTTCAAGCCATTCCTCGATAAGGCCATCGACATCCTTTGGATGCTCCCTGACAAGCTCAGAGCTTTGTTTCAAGGCCGGCCACCGTTTGAAAACTCATCAGAGGTCATTCATTAACAGGGCTCTGTTAAGACTGCGATCCCATCGGGATTGCTGCCTTGGCCCCTGCACAAGCACACTGAAGCCACAAACATCCTCTGTGACAGCAGGGAAGGCTTGCACAATGTAGCCCAACCTAGCACAACAAAGCCCAAGTGAGTGAACACCCTCAAAGCCCACCAGTGACACTCCCCCAAGTCTTAAGGAGTGCGCTGCAATTCAGTGCGGAGCTTTTGGAATGCAGAGACGTGCCCTATTTGACCTCGCGAAAGAGTTGTCAAGCACCACACTATCTCGCATGCAGGCCGGGGCAGGCACAGCATAGAGACAAGCAAGCGTCTCGTCGAAAGTCTTCCTGCGTCTTTCCCACCTGGGCAGTGACGATCACGTGCCCATCAAGCCCAAAAGAGGCTTCCAACACTGGCTTCGTCATAAGATCCTCCAACACTTCCTAACAAGCGGCTTCGTGGTAAGCCCAGATTGTTCTTTGGCGAGTTTCCATGAGTTTCCCATTCTCAATCCCCAACAAGCCCTACAATGACTCAGACTCACATCGTGTTACCAGTTACCATCAACCCACATTGCTAAGCACAACTCAGTGGGGGGCAGAGTCAACTCAGATTGGGCAGGTCTGCACATGTCCGGAATCTCTCCGGCCTTGACCCATCCAACCCCGCCAACCGCCGGGGTATCCCTTCGCATCGCCTGGTACACGACCTGTGTGCAGGAGTTCTCCTGAAAGCACTTCCTCTGACCCCGGACCACTGTAGCAAATCCACCTTGCAAGAACCCGTCACTGATCGCCCTTCACTCCTAAATCAAGCCTGAATCACTTGAAACCCTAAACCCGAAACCTCTACAGGGAACTCGTTGCCAGTGGGAAGTCTTGACTTGTGCTAAGCTGCTAAGAGGGATCGGAATCACCCCCGTCCTGTGCAGGATTCAATGCTGCCAAGTCAAACTCGAAGACGGTGGTGCTCTTGGGCAGTTTTGTGACCTGAAAAAAGGGATTCAAGAAAACATGAGCCTTGTCGAAAGAACAACGAGTTGGGTGAAAAGATATCATGAGCAATGCTCATAGATGACTTCTTTACAGTTATGTTCCTCATATTCTCGTGACTACGGGTATGTCCTAACCTCTTCACTATTTGCCATAATGTCCATGGTCAATTGACATCAAAAAGTCAAAAAGGTCCACATCCTTGGTGATCCGCAGCACCAAAACCCGCTGTGGTGGTGCACGCTGAATAATTAGACACAAATAAATAGACTCAAAGACTCATGCCCTTGATGTTCCGGGAAAGCTGAAGTACTCTGAGATGATTCTCAGCTTTCTCGTGTCCAAGTTGTGCTTTCTCAACGGATCACATCGTGGCCTCTTTCTTTCGGAGCTCTTGGAGAGGAGTGGTGCCCAAGCGCTTCAAGTTGGCACCTAGGCAAATGCTCTTTACCGCAAAAACGCGTTGCACAGCATGAAATGCATGGGTGCCTCACTGCTCTACTAGATGGTGCCCGTACGAACCATCCGAGCAACGCGTCATGAACCGGAAGAAGGCACAGCACAGCAACGTCGGTTAGTTTGAAGTGAAATCAAATTGTGATGTTGAGCAGTGTCGAAAGCCACCTCACTGCAATGTACCAAGGAACTGCAATGAATGGAAGGCCGAAAGACACTGTGTCATCCCCGGGTGGGCACCACAAAATGTATATATATATAACTTGCATCTTCCATTGGAATCTTAAAATGTAATGTCATATACTTTATATATATATACTTGCAAAATGTTTTATATACATGTGCGTTTTCCAATACAACCATTGTAATGTTACGTTTTGCGGGTACCCCTGCAATTTCACTCTAAAGCCTCCCGGACCTCTAAAGCCTGTAACCTAACATTGTCCAACACTGGAAGATGCAACCTATTAACGTAAAGGTCTGCAAATGATTGCAAACCGTGTGACTGCAAAGTGTCTTTCTCTTAGGTATCTAGTTTCCATATGTTTCCCTGTTAGGTCCTTTTAGGTATCTAGTTTCCATATGTTTCCCTGTTAGGTCCTTGGTCTAGGTACATACCGCTCTTTTGGAGGCCTCCGCTAGTCTAGCCTCTATTTTTTTGAGGTGTCTTCCTTTTTCCTTTAGGCCTTTCTTCCTTTTCTTCTCTTTCTTCTTTATCTGTTCTTTATTCCTTTCTTTCTTCCTAGTTACCAGTTGAACGTACGGGTCATGCAAGGACGCTTTGTTGACTGCATTTCCAGTATACATGTTAAGTTATATATATATATATCATCTTAAGCTATCTAGTTTCCATATTCTTGGGATTTCTAGATGCGTACCACAGTTTTGGAGACCTCCGAAATTGCAGCTTACATAGAGCCGATGGCTTTTGGCAGCTACAAAATGTGACAAAACAATGCACATCGCATACTCATCTCTAGTGTCAAGATCATGAAGTTACAATAAATAACTTATCACTCATCCCCAAGAAAAAAAGTATGTTATCAACTTCCAACGTGGGAGGTCTGATGTTACATTTGTTGAGCCCCCCTCCCCAAAAAAATACAGTAAGTACTTCGTAGGTACTGGGGGCGTCCTCAAGTTACATTATGTTACATTTGATTTTGGGGTAGTGACATTGTGTCTCAAATAAGACTGGGCCAAATGTCGCCGATCGCAGGAGTCCAGTCCACCAACGGTTGGCGGAGCCACTCATTGTGGGGCACAAACACGTGACTGAAGTGAAGACCAGGGTACAAAAGATCTCGGCCAACTCCCGTGCGCCATCTTCTGTGGCATTGCCATGCCTTAGCTGGCAAAAGATGCTTCCCATGCCTTCTGTTTGGGAGAGGAACTTCAGCCCATTCCTGAGGCCCTGACACCAGCATATCGACTTGCACGTGCGAGAGCGCCTGAGAGATGGCTGGAGTGAGCCGCTCATTGCACCACTTCCCTACTTCAGACTATAGCAAACTCACTCAGATCCAGCTTGCTGCTAGTCGGTGAGATTTTGCCTTGCGCACTGCTTTCGACATTGCCAAAATGTCCGGCATGTTTTCCAAGACCTGCCAGTCACCGCACAAATGCCTTTGCGGCATGTGCTGAATCCTTACATATCCTTACACTCACAACGCGGCAGCATTTAGAAAGAAACGGAACTCGTGAGGTGGCTACAAGTATGACACTAAGACGCCACACGTATGGAGCTGTATATATGTTGGCCTAAACAACGACGCTGATGTATGTGGATGTGGTGGGCTTGCCTTGATGTATTCAGACAAATGCCAACTTTTTCGGAGCATAAGCTGGCTCAAGTAGTACTGGCCAACCTGGAGGAAATGTCACATCATCGACAGTGCCAAGCGCTTCCCCTCA